ATGATACCAATTACCTACCAAATATTTTATAAATACATGTCCATGTAAATAAAGCAATCCAATATCAATCCTGAATCACACTATGTTCAACTGCAGATTGTTCATTTCTTACGGGTCCCTCATATTTTCTATTTTATCTAACAAATAAAACCTCCTACTCCATTGCTTAAAAAAATTCTCAGAACTTATAAAATTGCTAAATTAATAATTCAGCATATATTTCACTAAATCTTGACTCCTAAACAACTCTCAGTAAATACACATTTCTAATAAAATGAACATGCCTAATTGTGTAAGTAAACGGCCCAAAGGAATAGTATCTGCCATAGTAATGGAGTCTAATGACAATTCTGCTGACTTCTCCTATCTGAAAATGAAATCATGTGGAAAATGATTTCTACACTAGAAGAATAATTAAGACAGAGAACAAAATGTGATTTGGTAGAAATGAAAGCTTAGATTAACTCTGTTCTTGCAGAGAGGGGTGACATTGTTTACCATGATGTTATATTAACATGCTCTCTTTTTAAAATAATACATTTATTTCTATATTTACTTCTTTATATCCTAACTGCATAGCAACAGATCTAACTAAGAGGGAAGTAGATCATGAGGGGCTTTTTGTTTCCTTTTCCTGTATGGGCATTTCTGGGTTGTGAACACTGTTTGAGAAAATGGGCTTTTCTCTGGGACTTAGCTATCTTTTGTTATACAGATATTTTCATTAACATGCCATCTCTTTTCATTGGTTTTGATCTTTTTATGAAATGTATGCTTTTATCTACACTATTCAAAAGGAAATTATATTTAAGAAAACGTGCCATGCATTGTGAGGTTTTAGCATTGTTTAAAGGAACTGTGAGAAACAATTGAAGAAAAACACCAAGGTAAGACTTTATCACTTTAAGAACCAAAGGACCAGTGTTACCACTATTTTTCTATAAAATACAGATTATTTTAGTTCCTAACAAAAACATTTAATGAACAAGACTGTATTACAGGACAATAAAAAAATGTAAGCAATTAAAGTCTAAGCAACATTTTTCAAGGAAAGTGTGAATAGAACACTTTCTGTGGAGCTTGTCAACACAGTCTAATGATCTTTTCCTCTGTTTGAAAATGGCTGATTTTAAATAAAAGCTACTCTAACTTCTCCAGAGAACGTACACAAGAAAATTGCTATACTTCAACAATAAATAAAATGAAATGTCAATTTATTCTCATATGTCCACAAGATTATTCTGTATTGAATACACAGAATATTTTCAAGGCAGCTGACACCCGTTAACCACTCCAGGCATAAATCACTCCATTCGCAAAACATACAGTATCTAGAGCGCCTGATGTAATGCAAGATTTTACCAGACAGTTATTATTTTCACCAGTTTTCGAACTCTATGCTACCAAATCCTCCGAGGAGGTTTCATGGGTTCTTGATATCGGTTTTTAGTACACAAATGCTCTATTCTGCCTGACTCCCCGTTGAGGGGCCAACAGTGAGTCTCTCCTCACAGATTACATCTCTGTACTGTGGTATCTATTGCCCCTGCCCCACCTGCATTGGGGCATTTTTGTCATGCTTGGTGATAATGAAAAAGGATTTCAGAAGACTCACATGTTCAGGGTATTCCTTTTTACCCATGACTTGAATCTCTGCCCTTATAACCTCTGATTATTTTAAACATTTCCCAACACTCCATCCCAATTCCTCCCTTTGTTATGTGGTCTCAATATCAAAAAGTCTCTTTGTTTTATCCTTCCTGCAAATCCAAGAATCCCATTCTTGTTGCCCCCAATAAATCATATATAGTATAATTCCCCCCAAGATGCACAATGTAAGAAAAAAATTCAAAACAGGTATGACTAGATATTAAACCTCTTAAAATGTCCATTTCCCACATGTATGACCCAATCTAGCAATCTCTCTCCAGATAATGCCACTCTTATTCTCCTGATCCATCTATCCATCAGGTTTCACAGGCCAATCAAGCCAGACCAATAGAAGATGCTCAAAAATGTGTCCTACAGGCATAAATTAAAGTCTTTGCATGATATAAAAACACGAATCTTGCTTTTTCCTTTACTTTTTCACTCGTTTTTAAAAAGTGGAAAACGTTTTTGCACTTCATAAACTTCAAAAGGAATACAATGGATTTTGATCTGCATTTTCCATACCTTCCTATATATCATCATTTTCAGATCATCAGTACATTTCATTAACATACAATATTTCTAATGATAATTTATTGCTAAAACTACCATCTCCTATTAGGCATATTTACCTCAAGAAAATAGTCTAGGTAGCTAATATTTTATTTAATTATATATCAATGAAATGAGTGATTAAATTAGCCCTTTTCTGAGGGTCTTGGAACTAAAAGGAATTCCTGTTTAGTATAACCTGCAGTTTCCATTCTCAGATAGAAGCAGTATATCATGCATAGTTTCTGCATCCAAATTGTTCAGTTCTGCTTCATGGCCCCTGCACACAAATTGCTCACAAGGTGACACTATAATCACAAACCAAAAAAATCAAAATATATTTATACATCTTGAAAAGATTAGCTTTGCCATGAAATATTCAAGTCAAAATTTTTCTTCTAATGTCTTTTGGTCAAGGTAGTTAACATAAATTATTTATTTTAGATTTGTTTTTAGATACTAGAATTTCACAAATCACTCTGCAGAAAGTAGTGAAAGTATCTCAGTTGCTTATGATTTAATGATAGATAAAAATGACAGAAAAACTTCACCTTTGTGTTTTCACCAAAAGGATGAATATCTGTAAGAATAGCTCAAATATGTGTACTGAAATGAATATTTATAATAAATGAGAGAGCATTTTTATGCATTTTTAATCTGAAGAGGTTAAAAATTACTATTTGAAAATTCACAACTTATGCATGCACACATACAAAATTTGCTTTTATGTGCTTCCATTTCAAAGCAGTCAGAACATTCATGAATAGCTCTAATCAATTATTTTGGGGTGCTGGCAAAGAACAACCTGGCTATAATAGAAGACGTATTAATGTCTTCTATATGGAATTAGAGGTGGTAAAAAATAACACTAATTTCTTTAACAAAGCAGAAAACTTCCTAAAACAAATCCTTAGAAAATATCTGAGCAATTACAAAACCACACATGAGAATCAGCATCCATCTTTATTCCCTAAACCAGTAAAATCAAATAGTAACAGCTCCAGACAATTATCACAATTCTAAAAGAAACTTACAAAAGATTATTTCTCACACCAGAAATCCAAAATAAACTCATAATTAATGAATCCATATTATGAGAAGATGAGACATTTTTTGTCATTGTGTAATGATGATATATATATATATATATTCAAGAGGGTTGACTATTCAAAGATATACTTCTATACTACAAGTGACCTAGATTATTTCCAAATGGTTTGTCTCATTTTCAGTATACCTTACAAAAATTGGATGATATTTTTTTAATAAATGCTTTTCAAAAGTCAGAAAAACCCTTTAAAACCTTTTTGCAACTAGCAAAAAGTAGTTAGAATGAATAGTCTACTGAAATTATCTTCTGTATATCCATACACTTATCTAACCCCAGCTCAATCATTGTATTTTAGTCACAGGTGAGTTAAAGTGGCTGCTCCTTAATAACAATAACAGTGGTGTCTCAAAACATGTGAAGGAAATAGCTTTATTATAAAATAACAACATTTAATTTTAGAAAAAATTATGTGAATTAATTTTTTTTCAAAAACATATCTAAAGGTGCTAATCACTATTAACTCACACAAGGTTGAGAATCCCTTACTCAAAATGCTTGGGACTCGAAGTGTTTCAGATCTCAGATTTTTTTTTCAATTTTGGATTATTTCCAATATACTTACTGAGTGAGCATACCTAACCCAAAAATCTGAAATAGAAAAAGCCACAATGAGCGTTTCCTTTGAGCATCATATTGGACTCAAAGACTTTGGATTTTAGAAGCATTTCCGATTTTTTGGATTAGGGCTTCTTGACCTACACATACATAGTAAGTATAGACATGTCTAGCTTCAGGAAAATCTAATGGGTGAAGATCTAAATATTTAAACAGTCTAGGTAATTAGAAGGTGTAGTTTCCATCACCTAAGATTTTCACTTCATATAAAGAGCTATTGCAGGGATTCACAGATAGAGAATTTCTGTATGCATTCACATGAAAAAATTCATAAAATATCAGCTTAGTCACATATTGTACGGAGTATAAGCATAGACTAAGGAATGTCTGCACTTCTGCTATAAATTAAATGCTTACAAAATGTTACTTATGAAGGGTGGCAGAATATGCCACCCCCAAATATGCCACTTTGATATAAGGATCACTTTAAGCTAAGGGCACTTGAAAAACAGCAGATGCAAGAAGCGCACTCAAATCCTCCCCTTTCCTTTTTCTGAAAACCGGAGATAAAACTTTCTTGTGAATGATGCTCTCCTTGTACCAGGAGAAAAGAAACATTCTTCTACAGGAGTCATAGCAGACAGAATTCTGTACAAATTGACCTTGTTAAAATAATTCTTATCTTCTTTAGCTTCCTCACATAATTTACTTACTTTTTCACATTTAACTCTAGTCGTTCCATCTAATACAAAAGTATATAGGTCTCGCCATTTCTTTGGGTCTTCATTTGTTTATGACGGCTTCTGCACCATTTCAAACTTACATTACATTTCTGTGCTTTCCTCCTGTTAATCTGTATTATATCAATTTAATTCTCGGGACCAACTGAAAAGCATCTTTTGGTACTTTGTTGAAGTTCTTAAATTTTTTTATAAAACACATACACACACACCATGATAGTTTATGACATTATTCATTTATGATACTTAAAAGGAAATTTTCAAACACAAAATGTTTTACCATAAAATTCATGATCAATCTCACCTGAATTACCTGAGCAACCTATCTGACATACTTTTGTTCCCACCTTTGAAATCCAATTATATCGGCAACAAGATAAAAGATGACTTACCGGTCCAAAAGAATTACTGTCAAAGCTGTGTCCGTGATGATCACCTTCAACCCAGATGTGACCACGGGGGACTCTAACATACCGATTTTTGTGTCCCATGGTTCTAGAAATAAACAGTGTAAACATTGAGATAAGAGCAGAAAGGAGATCAAACAGCCCAGCATAAACAAACTCAGTAAAGGCAAACATGTTATAAAGATGTAATACACAAGTTAACCATCAAGCGCTTCATAACTTCATTTTTAAGTAAGATGTGGTTAGGTACCTATAAATCTATTTACAGTATTATTAATTTTATAGGTAAAAATTTTGTGCTTAAATAAAATGCATCAGCATCAAATGTAATGTGTTGGCATTCAATTTATTTCATAATATCTTCAAAAGGTGCTTATAAAATTCAGTAAGCCCTAGCAAAATACATTATCTATTTGATTTCTGACTCTTGCTTTTAAGGCAATATTTAATTCTTCCAATTGACTGTAGACAGCTGCAATATTCTTTTATTTAAAAAAAAACCAAACTTCTCAAACCAATTACCAACATTCTCATACCTCTTAAAACTCGAAATGTTAGCATATGTAAGAAAAAAAAGGAAAGAATAATAATTTGAATGATCTCTTGTTAGATGCAAACTAACAACATCATTTGGAAGTTTTTGATCAGCACTAAATTACTCTTAAAAATGAGTAACTTCTTAACAATTTTAAGAGTATTTAATGATCAATGATACACAAATGGACTGGGCAGTGGCTCATGCCTATATTCCTAGTACTTTGAAAGGCTGAGATGGGAAAACTGCTTGAGAGCAGGACTTTGAGACAAGCCTGAGCAAGAGCAAGACCCCCATCTCTACAAAAAAATATAAAAATTAATCAGGTGTGGTGGCACATGCCCATAATCCCAGCCACCAAGGACACTTAAGGATTCCTTAAGCCCAAAACTTGGAAGTTGCAGTGAGGTATGATGATGCTACTATATTTTAGCCTGGAAAACAGAGTGAAATCTTATCTCAAAAACAAACAAACAAAAACATTTGGCAGAAGATTCTATATTCTTAATGCTGGCAAGGAAATGAAGAGAAGGTTCTCTCACACAGTGCTGGAAGCAATGTAAAATGACACAACTTTTTTTGGCCTATATTTCATTTTAGGCCAATTTTTCACAAATTTTTAAGAGTCTAAAATGTCCATGCCTTTTATTTATACTTCTAGAAATCCACCTTAAAAAATGAAAAATATGGACAAATATTCATTATCAGAGGTGTTCAACTCAGTCTTTTTATAGCAAAACAAACAAACAATTTACCTAAATATCCAACAATACAGGATTGATTCAATAAATTATGACATGGGCCAATTAAATAAAGGAGGCAAGATTAGAATAAATACTCCAATCCTCAAATAATACATTCTTTTGGGGGCAGAGACTGTTTCCTTTGTTTTAGGGTTGTTTTTTTTTTTTTTTTCTCTCTAAAGCACTCAAGAAAATAGGAAAATACCTAGCCCCAGGAAATTTCTCAATAAATGTTGGCTAAATGGATGAATGAATGAATAAATACCACCTCCAAGGCTATAGAGGTCAAAGACTGAACTTGGCACACTGTATTTTGAGGGGATGTCCCTATGGGGCCATTTTGTTAGTAAGTTGTATATGTGCAGAAAAATACATTAAAAAGGAAAACTACATACAAATTGCTGTTATAGAAATTGAAACTATTCATTATCTAAGAAGGTTTTTAATTTTCAAGATAATTTCAATGTTGAATTACTTTGCTTTAGATCAGAAAATCATTCATGCAAGGAAGCAATGTTGCATCCATTAGAAGCCCACAGTAAGTTAATGACTGCTGTTTATTTTTAATTACTACTGGGAAGAAAGTTTTTAGCTTTCTAAAGAAAAGCAAAAAACAAGTTGAACACATCTTACCATCATATACTCTGTAATATAAGAGTTCTTTAATTAAAATCAGTCAATTAATTCTGGACATCACTACTACTTTTATTATGAGATTGCCTGTAAGAACTAATACCCCACAGCCAGTGTTGATGACAGGAAGAAGACACTTTTACTAAGTGTTGGCAAGGCATTCTTTCCAAATAAGTGCCACCTTATTAAGCTGGGTATTTTGGGTAAAACTTAGAAAAAAAATTACCAATTTTATCTCTTCAAATAACAATTCAAAAATTATAAAGTAAAACCAGCATAAAGTCATCTGTGCAATGAAAGGCGAGTTTTAAAATCAAGCATATTCTTATAGAAACCAGAAGAACAATGTAAAACCCACATTGAGTTTCAATGCTGTAAAAGCAGGAATCAAGATAGTGGAGACAGAAAGCAACATCATCAAAGTACCAATGATGGTCGCATGGCTTCTTGTCTTGACCATCTTATCTACAATATTTAAATACATTGTGTACTTTATTATTATCTAGGCACTTACAATGCTTTATTTTTCTTTACTGCCCCACATTTGACATACATTTATGTATTTATTTATCTTTTATTTCTCCCCTTTAAAATGTAATTTTCAAAACTATGCCTTTCTTGTTCACTAGAGTATCCACAGAGCTGAGAATACATTGCACTCAGTGTTTAACAAATATTATTAAATGAATGACTGAATAAATAATAAAATACTGCCAGAAAGGTATATAGTGGAAAGTATACAGATTCTGGAAACACACTAACCTAGTGTTAATCAGGCATTATTACTCACAGGTAATATTGTGAAAGTTACTTAGAGTTCTACTTCTATTTGTTTATCATTTTAATGGGAGGAATAAGATACAAACTAAACAGGTTAGATGGTTAGGGACCATATTCGGATGAGGTATAGGGTAAGGTGACTCTTGGAGAATGAGAAGGTTTGGGCTTTTGGGATAGGCTAAGGTTGGGGCTGGGGTTCAGGTGATGGTTATGGTTGGGCGACCCCTGGGCATGAAGCAGGTTGGGGGCCCTTGGGGTAGGGCTAGAGTTAGAGCCCAGGTCCAGGTGATGGTTAGGGTCAGGCAGCCTTGAGCATGAATAGAGTTCAAAGCCCTTGAATTAGGGCAGGGTTTGGGTGATGGTTAGGGTTAGGTGGCCCTGGGCATGAAGAGGGTTCAAGGCCCTTGAGTTAGGGCAGGGTTTAGGTGATGGTTAGGGTTGGGTGGCTCCTGGGCTTGAACAGAGTTTGCAGCTCTTGAGTTAGGGATAAGGTTAGAGTCCAGGTTTTGGTGATGGTTAGGTCTGGGAGGCCCCTGGGTATGAAAAGGGTTTGAAACCCTTGGCTAGGGTTAGGAGATGAAGCTTAGCAGTCAGATGAAAATACAATGGAGAGTTGTTATACAGCATAGTCTCTGGAGCCAGCCTATCTTGAGATTTATTGTATCTTAACCATTTCAAGCTTGTATGATCTGGGCAAGCTGATGAACTCTAAGTGTCAGTTTCCTCATTTGCACAACTGGGCAAATAATAATACCTACCTTAAGAATTTATTCTATGGATAAAAGTAGCATATATTAAACACTTGGTAAATGGATTCTATTTTAGTGGAGACTGTTTTTAAGTAAAGCACTGAAATATAGTTCTGATATACAGCTGGAACCCAATAAGTGGTAGTTATTATTGCTATTGTCTTCCCTGTCCATTATTTTACTTCATTTTATAATTCAGAATGTGTTCAGCCTTTGCTATCTATTAGCATCAGTCCCTTAAAATTACCTGAAGTACGCCTGAATAATTTCCTTCCCCTACAATTCTGCTGTGACTATAGACTACTTTTAATGGTACAATGAATCTTTTTTCCCTTACTCTTATGTCCTTTGGGAACACTCTAAAACTTATATATGAAAACACAATCAATCTATTTGTGAATATTCAAATATGCAGAGAGTAGTAGGTGAAAGCACAATCTATCTATTTGTATTTTTTACCTACTATTCTCTTGCATATTTGAATATTACTATGTTAATACAGAGTGGTTTACCCAGATATTAGACAGTTTTGAAAGAACTCTTTGAGCTATAGATCCCTGGTAAGATCCATGCCATATACATAGTGCATATTCCGTGTTTCAGGTATCAATCTAACTTTTTAAAAAATAAGTCAAAGTAGCTTTAAAAAGTATAATGTTAAAATATTGAGCTGGATCTTTTGAGGACTGCTGAAGAAATATAATGGTCCTAATAGAACTGCTCTAGACAAGGAATTTTAAATAGCTTCGTACTCTGAATTCACATAAAAGAAAGACAAGATAATCTTTTAGGTGATTTAACAGTTAAGTGAGGTGTCAGGCTACAAGGTGGTATGTATATATGGCTTGCAAATAATTTAGGTTTTGACAGTCAGAAATGAATTCTGCATGGTATTCTAACTACCTGTCCAAAAAACAGGCAATTTTAGTACTAGCTTACTAAGACAAGTTACCTAGGTTTTATAAATGGAATGAAGAAGCCTTGCCTCCAATTTGATTTGACCTTGAAAACAATGTTTTATAAGTCTTTGAATCTTCTGAATGTTATCAGCTGAATATAAAAGTACTGTCCAAGCAATTCTTGAATGTTTGTTCCCAAAACAAGAGAGGGAAGAAATTCTTATTGAAAATATGTTCCAAATACCTAACCACACACAGTGTTCTTAATTTGGGTATCTTATATTAATAATTCATAATTAATTGAAGATATCCTTATTTCTTTACTTTTCAAACCATGCTATTGATTTTTCTCATTATCCCAAGTAGTAGCTGCTCGGGGGATGTTTACTACTCCCTGGATCCTAGTTTCCTGGTTTTCATTGCCTTGAAGGGAACAGGAGTCAAGGGCTCAGGGCCCAATAAGATCACAAAGTGGAAATAAGTCTTTTTATGTCACTAGTAGATAGGACCAAAAAAGGTACAAGTAGGAAAGGAAAATGAAAAGAACAATTGACTATCTAAGGTTGGCCTCTGGAACAGAAAATAAAACTGCCTTTGAGAAGTCACACTCTGCTCTCAGGGGAGATTAGGGTTGAAATTCACAGTATTTGGATGACATGGGAAAGTTAAGAATTAATTTTAATTGGCCCCAGGTATCACAGCTCAGGGCAACCTCAAACTCTTGGGCTTAAGCAATTCTCTTGCCTCAG